TAAAACGTTTTCCCTCTTCACGTTTATTTCTGGCTGGGGATAGATACATGAAGTGGGGTTACACATGTCTTTAAGCCCTCGACCTTCCCTAACTAGGGACAGTGGTGTAACAGCAACGACTGCTTTATTAATACGTTAATCACGATTTAGATCAGTTAATAAACTCGTCATATGTATATGGATTAAAAATTCTGTACGCCAGACACGCATTTCGTCTACAAGAAACTCATCAGTGACGCTCGAATAACGAAAAGACCAAATAAATAACGAAGTTGACAACATTCTTAGTGTTTTGAAAAAATTCAAAGTTTTGTATACAGTTAATTAACTGTGAAAAGAGGAAGGAGATAATACAGTGATGATTAAAAATCAAATGTCGAAGAAAACTCGAATAAACCATGACAAACAAAAAATAATGAAAACGTCAAAAAGTCAAACAAATCTAGAAAACATAACAACATTGACATTTGAATTTGAGTACTAATATCAGTTTGATTATTTGTCTGATGTGAAATCGTACCCTGGTACAGATAGTAAAAACATAATCTGTCATAACTCGTAAATCAAATTATGTTTGAAGTAAATAGTTCATAAATAATCTACATTCTATAATTTCCAATTGCTTATTCTCAACGTTGATTAGCTAACATCAATACATGAATAACAATGAATAACTTGTACAATGAAACTATTAATTTAAGTGTTAATTAAATGAAGCATTCAAACATTTGCCCCCCAAGGGTGACTGGGGAATAGAAGTATGGTCACCATTGGTCTTCCTCCGACCGGCAGTAAAACCCGTGCTAAAGTGGGGCGTCCGTTTGGCTGTGCGGGATGTACAAATTTGCAGCCACGTCCGGTCAGAATGGGGACGTTAAATCCGATGCCTCGTGTAAAGAGAGTGCCACGCTCTTTGCACGTTAAGAACCCTTGCAACAACTCTTTGAGGGGTCCGTAGGTGACCTGTTGCAAGGCTAAATTTCTGTCCCTATCCAATATACCCTCATTTCCCGTGGCAGTCTAAATTTCTCCGACCTTAATCCCTTAATCTATTACAGAACCTACCTATTGTATTTATTGTGAACTTGTTCTCGTCCTGAATATGCATGAAATATTTGCAACTGGACGTTAAGCAACCAACAATCAATCAATCAATCAATCATTCAAACATTTAATTTAAAACATGAATGGATTTCACGTTAAATAAGTTTATCTGTTTATAGTTTTGACTCGCTTCAAGAATCTAAACGGAAATCGGACCATATAACATCAGATTTTACATGTTTAATTTTTTAATGATTTGTAGTGGAAAGAAAAGCTCGATGGTAGATCTTTGATAATCTATGTCAATTTTATTCACTGCTTTTCTACACTGGTAGCGATAGAGATCTTGATAAATTGTCTAAAGAGTTTGCTAAAAAAATAAGTCACAGAGTCAAATTTGTTTATACTGATCCTTTAAGGCAAGAAATTGATGTCCATTATAGCTTGAACAAGGGAAATTAAAATATACACACTGGAAAATTCTGGTACTGAAATGCATTTATATAACTTCACTTCAGTTTTTTAGATATCTTTATGAATATAACTCGTAGTTCAAATGTTTTATGAAAAAAATATCAATGAAAAATCGCTTTTCGCTACTATTTATATTTTATTTATTTCTAATCTCTAGTTCGGAAACGTAGTAAGGTCAATCGATCTATATATTGTTAAAGTGTGTTGGTTGTTTAGTCAGAAACTACATTCTTTAGGCGCACCTGCGTTTTTTGTAAGGGGTGTATTTCTCATTTTAAGTTATCTGTTGGATGTTTTTATTTTAAATCTTTTGTTGTCTTTTTATCTTTTGCCATTTTCTGTCCTTCTTCTATCACAATTTTTCCTGTTCCTTTGGTTTCCTCTGCCTATTCCCCCTGGTGGATCGCTATCGTTGCCGTGGTCGGGGGGCTTGCGTGTGTCAGTGACCCCAAAAGCTATGCCAGCTGGAGCTTCGTCTCCTGGTAGGGTTACCCATGCTGGACAGGTCGAAGGGTAGAGACCAAACTAAGGTGATCCGAACATCGTACGAGTTGCCCGATGTTTTGAATAAAATAGGCTCTCCAACCCGTTGGCCGTGTGTTGCTACCCGTGTCGGTGGTTGACGAGATCCTTGCGGATGAGGGCTGTAGTCAGACTCCTTACGGTCAGAAAATACCCGGACGGACGAGACTATAGTTCAATAAGCTGCTTTGGCTCTGATATCATCTAAACGGGAGGTCGGATGGACCCGGTCCGATCAATCGGCTGGTCATGTCGAGCCCTTCAGTTAATCCTCAACAATAAGCTTTCTTGTAACAATTACCCGCAAGGGTGACTGGTGAATAGAAGTATGGTCACCATTGGTCTTCCTCCGACTGGCGGTAAAACCCTCGCTAAAGTTGGGCGTCCTTTTGGCTGTGCGGGATGTACAAATTTGCAGCCACGTCCGGTCAGAATGGGGACGTTAAATCCGATGTCTCGTGTAAAGAGAGTGCCACGCTCTTTGCACCTTAAGAACTCTTGCAACAACTCTTTGAGGGGTCCGTAGGTGACCTGTTGCAAGGCTAAATTTCTGTTCCTATCCAATATACCCTCATTTCCTGTGGCAGTCTAAATTTCTCCGACCTTAATCCCTTAATCTATTACAGAACCTACCTATTGTATTTATTGTGAACTTGTTCTCGTCCTGAATATGCATGAAATTTTTGCCACTGGACGTTAAGCAACCAACAATCAATCAATCAATCTTGTAACAATTTTCATTATATACACATGTATTTAAATTAAGCTATTTATATTTCGGATAACTGAAGAAGGCGATGGCTCATGGGTCAATCAAGTGGTACGCTTTCTATTTCGCTTGATGGATACGCTCTGCTTGAGTATACTATTCTTGGAACATCTGGTGCTTTCCGCAGTGGATCTTGAGTGCTAATTTTGGGGACAGGCTGCATTATACTTGCAGCTTGCTTTCAGCATTAGCGCTTGACCCCGGCTCGCCACGGAAACACAGCATCGCCCTTGTAGGCACTCCGAGGTGGGTAGATGACAAGGATAGTGAATCTTTTTCCTTTCATATGGCAAACAAAAACCAAACTTCTCAATTAGCTTCAACAAAAAAAAAGAAAATGTGATGACTCTGCGCCCTGTCAGGAAGATGATAGTTGGCCCCGGTTTATTGTAATAAAAGGAACAGATGAAAAACCAGTTTCAAAAATATCTCCTTTTGTAATTCATAAACAAATTCAAAGCATTGCTGGTACAGTTAAAAAAGTTTCAAAAATGAGATCAGGGAATTTGTTGGTTGAATGTTCCAACAAAAGTCAATCAACAAATTTGCTGACTATGTCAAAAATTACAGACTTTTCTGTTTCTGTCTCTCCTCACAATAGTTTTAACAGTTGCAAAGGAATCATTCGAGACAGAAGTCAATATCTGGGTGATCTTACCGTGGAAGAAATTAGTGATGAATTAACAAACCAAGGTGTATCTGATGTTGTTAGATTTCAAATAAAAAAGAATGGAAATATAACCAAATTAAATACATATCTTTTGACCTTAAAAACTCCAACTCCTCCTCCATCTATTACTTTAGGTTGCTTCGGAATCAGAGTTGACAGATTCATCCCTAACCCAATTCGATGCTTCACCTGTCAAAAGTTTGGTCATGGAACTAAACAATGTCGTGGTACGCAGAGATGTTTCAAGTGTTCTGGCGAAGGACACGAGGGAACAACCTGTAGCTCTGAATTTTCAAAATGCGTAAACTGTGGTGAATCCCATTTTTCATCATCTAGGGACTGCCCTGTTTACCTGAAAGAAAAATTTATTATTAAAATAAAAACAGAAAGAAACATCAGTTACCCATAAGCTAAACAGATAGCTTCTGTTTCGAGTGATCCTCTAGTTTCGAACAAACCATCGTACGCCAGCAAAGTTAGCCGCTCATTCAGTCATGAGAATACACAAACTCGCATGACGTGGCCAATTGATGCTGAAACTTTTACAATGTTGCCTGTTCAATTAGAAACTTCCAATAAATTAATTATTCCAAGAAAATCAAAGCCTTCTAAAACCAGTACTCAGTCAACTCAATCTTCCTTACAGAGCTCAATGTCATCATCTAAAACAAATGAAAAAAAGAAATCAGATAAAAAAGATGCAGTTAAATCAGACAGTTGGGGCGGTGAATCTGTCTGGGATCTTCCCAGTGACATAGATGATTCTTCCATCTCCAATAGTCTTCCTTCGTCTGAATCTAAGAAGTTATCTTCTACATCCAGTACAAAGTCTACTAGAGCCCCGTCTCCTCTTCGTTCTCCAGAGAAGAAGGATGTCCAAAAGAAGCCAGTAAATACATCCTCTCAGAATTCTTCTGATTCGAGGTCGCGGGGTAGGGGTCGAGGCGGAGTAAAAGCAGCCGCGTGTGGTCCTGGAGATCGACGACTCTCCTCACACAACAGATTTTCAACACTTATCGACGAAACTGAAATGGAAATCGAAAGTGTTCCGCCACCCGAAAGATCACAATCTCAGGGTGAGCGAAATTAGAATGCTGGCAAACTCGACAGCATTCGCCTTTCTATTATCAAATCATGACTAATATCATCCAATGGAATTGCCGAGGTCTTAAAATAAATCTTCTCGAGTTAACGCTTCTAGTTCAGTCATTTTTACCTACTGCATTTTGTCTTCAAGAAACTCATTTAAAAGAAAGTGACAATGTATCTTTAAAAGGATACAACATGTATAGCACATTTTCTAAGGTAGATGAACGTGCTGCAGGCGGATCATCCATTTTTGTGAAGGACAACGTCATTCCTAGCACAGTCCAACTCACCACGGATCTGCAGGCAGTTGCAATTCGTTTATCATTAGATAAAACAATTACATTATGTTCTATATATATTCCACCCAATTCAATTATAGATAAAGCTAAACTCAAAAATTTCACTGATCAATTACCCTCACCATTTATACTTATGGGCGACTTCAATGCCCACAACCCTTTGTGGGGAAGGAAGTCTCATAATATCAAAGGTAAGATCATTGAGGACTTTGTCTCTCAAGAAGGATTATGCATTTTTAATGATGGATCTAATACTTATCTTCATCCTGGAAACGGGTCTTATTCTGCTATTGATATCACTATTTGCGATCCCTCTCTTCTTCTGGATTATTCATGGCGTGTTCATGATGATCTATGTGGAAGTGATCATTTTCCAATAGTACTTGAACATCTTTTTACTTCTGCCCAACAGAGAGAACCACGTTGGAAACTTGACAAGGCGGACTGGTCCTTGTTTGAGAATCTCTGTCAAGCGGAACTTCAGTCAAAGATGTTTGAGACTGTACAAGATCCAATTTTAACTTTTAATACAGTTTTAACGTCAACTGCTGACATATAGCGTAGTTGCCATAATGCTACAATTTTATGATGCTCCAGTAAATGATGCTTTCCGAAATAAATAAAATAATTGCTGAAGGTCTTTTTTGAAAATTATACATGTATTTTGTTTAAACTGTTTCCCTTTCATTAAATTTAGAATATTTTAACGTTATTCACTTGGCATCCATCGTAAACCAGTCAATAAACTAGTATTTTCTGTGGTACGCATTCTAAATCTCCAGCAGAATTGCTCGTGCTACAGATGTACAATGTATAATTATGTCAATTTTTTACTATTACATTCAAGCTATTCATAGCCGTGATCGTCTAGTCGTTGGTATCAAAAGACACAACTGTGATATTAGCAGTGCCAAGTTCAAACCTTGTACCCGAATTGAAATTTTTCATTGCAATTTTTTTCTCGACAAAAATATTGTTTTATTCTTAAAGGTATTATATACTTCATATTCATTTAAAGGCGATGATTTTGTTTCTGGTTTTACAGTCAAGGAAGTAGTTTTACGGTCGTAGCTTATATATCACACTTTATTCAAATCAGAGTACGTTCAATGTTGACGTGATGTATATTTGGACCATTTATAATCAAACAAAGAAGAAAATATTGATAGTTCGATATCATTATAAGACTAAAACCTTAAGTAAGCATTTGCTATGATGAAAAGGAAAAGTCCTTGTACGTTAAAAGTGACATGTGTAATGGGCATATGGTTGTTTATTTTATCAAGGAACTGTACTAATATATACAATTCCTCGATTCTCTAAGTGTTTAGAACTAGTGTGTAATAGCCACAATCGTATAAAGACCCATCGGTTCATTATAACGATGTTGAAAATCGACCAATGTTCAAACCTGACATCGTGAATAAACTCTTTTTTAAGATATTTCCATACTGCTATATAACTATACTCAAGAACGTTCAAATGTAGAACTGACAGAACTATTCCTAAGACCTCGGCAAATCCGAAACATCCCAGCAAACCATGGTTTGATGATGCTTGTGATCAAGCAATAGGTGACCGTAAAAAATCTGAAAGACGGTTCAACCAACAACCAACGACAGAAAACTTGAGTAATTTCCGTGTTTGTCGCGCTAAGGCACGGCGGACTTGCAGGCAAGCACGACGAACGTCTTGGAAGAAATTTGTCTCGGAGATAACATCTCGCACTCCGATGACAAAAGTATGGAACATGATACAAAAGATAAAAGGTAAAAATTCTAAAGCCACAGTTAAACATTTAAAAAATGGCAATGATTTATTAACATCTGAAAAGGATATTGCCAACAAGCTTGGTGAAACTTTTGCGAAATCTTCTTCTTCTAACAACTACAGGGAAGATTTTAAAAAAGTTAAAAAACAAAAAGAAACAATTAAATTCAACTTTAAATCAAAAAATGGTGAAAATTATAATAAACTCTTTTCTCTTGAAGAACTTAAAACATCTCTATCAAAAGCCCATGATACAGCTTGTGGGCCTGATAATATTCACTACCAACTGTTAAAACACTTGCCAGATTCCTCGCTGGAAGCTCTTTTGCAGCTTATGAATAACATCTGGGAATCTGGTGATTTACCATCAATCTGGAAGCTTGCAACCGTCGTGCCTATTCCAAAACCAAGTAAAGATCACACGGATCCTATTAATTATCGGCCAATTGCTCTTACCAGTTGTGTCTGTAAAACACTAGAACGGATGGTTAATGATCGCCTTGTTTGGTTCCTGGAATCCAATGGGCTTTTAGCCAATATCCAGTGTGGATTCCGCCAAGGTCGCAGTACTCTTGACCATCTTGTTCGATTCGAATCATTTGTCCGTAATGGTTTTGCGAAAAATGAACATGTAGTGTCGGTCTTTTTCGATCTAGAAAAGCCTATGATACTACATGGAAGTATGGTATTTTAAAAGATCTGTTTGATATGGGGTTGAAAGGCAATATGCCAAATTTTATTTCGAATTTTTTATCTAACAGACAATTTAATGTTAGAGTAAATTCAACCATGTCTGATCTGTATGATCAAGAGATGGGTGTCCCTCAGGGCAGTATTTTATCTGTTACATTATTTAGTCTTAAAATCAACAGCCTTGTTGAAGTTTTAAAAAGTAATATTGAAGGTTCATTGTATGTTGATGACTTTTTAATATGTTATAGAGGCAAAAATATGAATAACATAGAAAGACAATTACAGTTATGTCTTGGAAGAATTGAAAAATGGGCCTCGGAAAATGGGTTTAAATTTTCCATTTCAAAAACGGTCGGGATGCATTTTTGTAACAAAAGGAAATTGCATCTTGATCCAGAACTCACTTTGTACGGCAACCCAATTAAAATGGTTGATGAAACCAAATTTCTTGGGTTAATTTTCGATAAAAAGTTAACCTTTCTACCCCATATCAAAATGTTAAAATCGAAATGTTTAAAAGCATTAGATATTTTAAAAGTTGTCGGCAGCACCGACTGGGGTGCTGATCGCAACATTTTACTTAATTTATATAGATCTCTAGTTAGATCTAAACTAGATTATGGCTCTATAGTGTATGGCTCTGCAAGGAAGTCCTACATACAGATTCTCGATGCTGTGCATCATCAGGGTTTGCGTCTCTGTCTTGGCGCATTTAAAACCTCACCAGTTGAGAGTCTGTATGTAGAGGCTGATGAGCACTCACTCTCTAACAGACGTTTGAAGCTTGGACTTCAATATGCTGTCAAACTAAAAGCCTACTCAGATAATCCTGCCTACAGCTGTGTTTTTAATCCAATTTATGAAGATATTTTTGCAAAACATGAAAATAAAATTCCTCCGTTAGGTATACGTTTAAAACCACATTTAGCTTCTTTTGATTTAAAATCTGTTGCTCAAGTTGAAACTTGCAAATGTCCTCCATGGGAACTTCCCAAACCAAAAATGATATTTGATCTCCGTGAACACAATAAAAATAAAACAAATCCTCTTTTAATTCAGCAACACTATGCTGAAATCAAAGCCAATTATTCAGATTTTTCAACTGTCTATACTGATGGATCAAAAGATGGTGACAGAGTTGCATCTGCTGCTGTCTTCAGGGACAGAGCTGCAACTCTCCGTTTGCCATCTGATGCATCGATCTTTACTGCTGAAGCAGAAGCAATAATTTTGGCTTTGAAATTTATTGCTTCTTCAGATAAATCCAAATTTATTATATGTTCTGATTCACTTTCATGCTTACAAGCTATACAAAATACTAAAATTAAAAACCCAACAATTCTCAAAATTTTATATGTAATGAGGAATTTAAAAATTCTTCTTAAAGAAATATTATTTCTATGGGTACCGAGTCATGTTGGAATCCTTGGAAACACAGCTGTAGACCTTGAGGCAAAGAATGCCCTAGGTGACCCTTTATTTAACTGTGATATACCATATACCGATTTTAAATCTAATATTAGAGAATATGTTTTTAATATATTGAAAAATGAATGGAGTAAAAAAGATGGTAATAAATTACATGAAATTAAACCTAATTTATGTAAACCTTTCAATAATTTTATGTGCAGAAAAGATCAGTGTGTTATTTCTAGATGTCGTATTGGTCATACTAGAATAACACACGAATATCTTTTAAAAAATGAAGTAGAACCACAATGTATACCTTGTAACTGCAAGTATACTATTAAACATGTTTTAATCAATTGTATTGACTTTGCTGATATTCGAAAGAAGCATTTCAATGTCAATAATATGTATGATTTATTTAATAATATTCCATTTACAAATATTGTTTCATTCTTAAAAGAAATTGGAATATATTATAAAATATAAAAATGTTGTTATATTTAAAACGATTTTAATTTTTATCACGTTATCTTAGTGTTGATTTTTATTTGTAAATAATCAATTTGCTTTAGTCTAGAATTTTAGTTTATTGAAAGACCTTTTGTCTGATTTTAAAAATATACCTTAAATTGTTATAATATTCGAATTAGCTCTCGCCGCGATATAGCCTTTCTGTGCTAATGCGGCGTAAAGCAAACAACAATCAATCAATCAATCAAATGTAGAACATGATCTTCCTTAAAAAATAACGCATAAAACAATTTACATAAATTTGAAAAGAACATGAACAAATCCAGACATAGTATAAATGTTTTATTAGATAACAAAAGCGAATTATCTCTGAGATAGAAATACAGTTTATTGACATGTATTGACAGTTGTGCGCTTTAAGAGTGTTATTTAAATATTGATTTATGTCAGCACTCGTGGTATAGTGGTATCATGCATAGACTGAAGACTCTACTGATTATGAAGAAAATACGCGCGAGTTCGAACCCTTCATATGCCTCTCGTTTTTGAAAGGATAAAAAAACGTAAGTTAAAAGTTTAAAGTTAAAAATTAAGTTATCTTAGGTAAACGAAGTGGTCAGTGGATTCTTGAAAAATAATCTACTGTAAGAACAATAGACTGACGTCAGAGAAATGGGTTAATGTTAGAGTAAATTCAACCATGTCTGATCTGTATGATCAAGAGATGGGTGTCCCTCAGGGCAGTATTTTATCTGTTACATTATTTAGTCTTAAAATCAACAGCCTTGTTGAAGTTTTAAAAAGTAATATTGAAGGTTCATTGTATGTTGATGACTTTTTAATATGTTATAGAGGCAAAAATATGAATAACATAGAAAGACAATTACAGTTATGTCTTGGAAGAATTGAAAAATGGGCCTCGGAAAATGGGTTTAAATTTTCCACTTCAAAAACGGTCGGGATGCATTTTTGTAACAAAAGGAAATTGCATCTTGATCCAGAACTCACTTTGTACGGCAATCCAATTAAAATGGTTGATGAAACCAAATTTCTTGGGTTAATTTTCGATAAAAAGTTAACCTTTCTACCCCATATCAAAATGTTAAAATCGAAATGTTTAAAAGCATTAGATATTTTAAAAGTTGTCGGCAGCACCGACTGGGGTGCTGATCGCAACATTTTACTTAATTTATATAGATCTCTAGTTAGATCTTAACTAGATTATGGCTCTATAGTGTATGGCTCTGCAAGGAAGTCCAACATACAGATTCTCGATGCTGTGCATCATCAGGGTTTGCGTCTCTGTCTTGGCGCATTTAAAACCTCACCAGTTGAGAGTCTGTATGTAGAGACTGATGAGCACTCACTCTCTAACAGACGTTTGAAGCTTGGACTTCAATATACTGTCAAACTAAAAGCCTACTCAGATAATCCTGCCTACAGCTGTGTTTTTAATCCAATTTATGAAGATATTTTTGCAAAACATGAAAATAAAATTCCTCCGTCAGGTATACGTTTAAAAACACATTTAGCTTCTTTTGATTTAAAATCTGTTGCTCAAGTTGAAACTTGCAAATGTCCTCCATGGGAACTTCCCAAACCAAAAATGATATTTGATCTCCGTGAACACAATAAAAATAAAACAAATCCTCTTTTAATTCAGCAACACTATGCTGAAATCAAAGCCAATTATTCAGATTTTTCAATTGTCTATACTGATGGATCAAAAGATGGTGACAGAGTTGCATCTGCTGCTGTTTTCAGGGACAGAGCTGCAACTCTCCGTTTGCCATCTGATGCATCGATCTTTACTGCTGAAGCAGAAGCAATAATTTTGGCTTTGAAATTTATTGCTTCTTCAGATAAATCCAAATTTATTATATGTTCTGATTCACTTTCATGCTTACAAGCTATACAAAATACTAAAATTAAAAACCCAACAATTCTCAAAATTTTATATGTAATGAGGAATTTAAAAATTCTTCTTAAAGAAATATTATTTCTATGGGTGCCGAGTCATGTTGGAATCCTTGGAAACACAGCTGTAGACCTTAAGGCAAAGAATGCCCTGGGTGACCCTTTATCTAACTGTGATATACCATATACCGATTTTAAATCTAATATTAGAGAATATGTTTTTAATATATTGAAAAATGAATGGAGTAAAAAAGATGATAATAAATTACATGAAATTAAACCTAATTTAGGTAAACCTTTCAATAATTTTATTTGCAGAAAAGATCAGTGTGTTATTTCTAGATGTCGTATTTGTCATACTAGAATAACACACGAATATCTTTTAAAAAATGAAGTAGAACCACAATGTATACCTTGTAACTGCAAGTATACTATTAAACATGTTTTAATCAATTGTATTGACTTTGCTGATATTCGTAAGAAGCATTTCAATGTCAATAATATGTATGATTTATTTAATAATGTTCCATTTACAAATATTGTTTCATTCTTAAAAGAAGTTGGAATATATTCTAAAATATAAAAATGTTATTATATTTAAAACGATTTTAAATTTTATCACGTTATCTTAATGTTCATTTTTATTTGTAAATAATCAATTTGCTTTAATCAAGAATTTTAGTTTATTGAAGGGCCTTTTGTCTGATTTTAAGAATATGCTTTAAATTGTAAAAAAATTTCGAATTAGCTCTCGCCGCGATATAGCCTTGTTGTGCTAATGCGGCGTAAAGCAACCAACAATCAATCAATCCCCTGCCTATTCCTGCTATTTTGGTTTCCTCTGCCTATTCCTGTTACTTTGGTTTCCTTTGACTTTTCCATTTGCTCTGACTTTTACTGTTTCTTTTGTTTTATCTGACTTTTACGATCCATTCGTTTTTTTTTCTAACTTTTACTGTCCCTTTGGTTTCCTCTGACTTTAACAGTCACTTTGGTTTTCTCCTGTTTTTTTATACTGTATAATAACTATAAATATTGTTTAAGCTGATCGAAAGGAATTATAGAATAACATCATATGATTCCTGTTTTGACGAACATGCTAGGCATTTATATAAGGGAAATCAAAACGTATATAAACGTTACACTACTGAAATAAGCCAAAAACAAAAACCCTGATTATGATTCTGTGACGAAAAAGCTTAATGAGTAAGTTTGCTTACTGTGTGATAAGCAACGTGTCCATTCATATCCACCTGAACAGACGTTTCAAGTTCCTTGGTAGGCAGATAACTGTCTCCATCCTAACATTATATAAAGATAAAGTTATTACATAAACAACTTCTATTACAATAACTGTTATTACATCTACAACTACTATTACAACAACTGTTACTACATTAACAACTATTACTATTACTACTTACTACTACCACTACTTCTACTAAAACTGGTTGTACTTATATAAATTGATTGATTGATTGATTGGTTTTCAGCACTATTGTGTTATTTATTGACGTACAGGAAGCTGGAATGCTCGGAGAGAACCACCGACTGTTTATACTTACACTTCTACAACAATAAAAAATTTTACAACAACAACTTCTACAACAAACAACTTTTACAACAACAACTTCTGCAACAAACAACTTTTACAACAACTGTTTCTACAACTACTTCTATCACAACGACAACTGTTTCTACAACTACTTCTATCACAATAACAACTGTTTCTACAACTACATATATCACAATAACAACTGTTTCTACAACTACTTCTATCACAACAACAACTGTTTCTACAACTACTTCTATCACAATAACAACTGTTTCTACAACTACATATATCACAATAACAACTGTTTCAACAACTACTTCTATCACAACAACAACTGTTTCTACAACTACTTCTATCACAATAACAACTATTTCTACAACTACTTCTATCACAATAACAACTGTTTCTACAACTACTTCTATTCCGAAGCGCTTTTCTGGACTTACCTTCATCAGGAACGCTCAAAGCCGAATATTTGAAAGCCGAGGATGTATAAGAACCGAAACGGTTGATTGATTGATTGAATGTTGGTTGCTTAACGTCCAGTGGCAAATATTTCATGCATATTCAGGACGAGAACAAGTTCATAATAAATACAATGGGTAGGTTCTGTAATAAATTAAGGGATTAAGGTCGGAGAAATTTAGACTGCCACGGGAAATGAGGGTATATTGGATAAGGACAGAAATTTAGCCTTGCAACAGGTCACCTACGGACCCCTCAAAGAGTTGTTGCAAGGGTTCTTAACGTGCAAAGAGCGTGGCACTCTCTTTACACGAGGCATCGGATTTAACGTCCCCATTCTGACCGGACGTGGCTGCAAATTTGTACATCCCGCACAGCCAAACGGACGCCCCACTTAAGCACGGGTTTTACTGCCGGTCGGAGGAAGACCAATGGTGACCATACTTCTATTCCCCAGTCACCCTTGGGGGACCGAAACGGTTGAAGAGCTATATGACTAAAAAATATATAAACATTAGCCAAATCCATCGAAGGTCAACTTTAAGGTTACAGACAATAATTGACAGGCCAGGGTATCTCGTCTGTAACTGACACCTTTACAGCCTTTTAAATGCGTATATTCCCGAATACACATGTTTGGTCTTCTATTTTCAATTGCGAAAATGACATGCGCGGTCATATATTTGATTTTCTGAAAGAAAACTAACACGTTTAATATATTACATGAAAGTGTTAAGTGAGTATTGTTTCTAGTTTAATTGTATGTAAAGTGTACATCTTTCCTCGTGTTTCTTGCAAATAATTATGAAAAGTTTTGCTGAAAAATTTCCTCAATAATTGTTAAAGTTTAATTTCAAAACGGATAAATAAATAAAGGACAACAGTCGTTCATCAATGTTAGACATTTCTAATTAGCCAATTGTATAGTAACTCTTAACGCCACAATAAGTATTGCCTTTAAATGGAATCTAATTAAGTTTGTTTCCGCACTGATGAAAAATATAATTGATAATTAAAGTTGAAATGTCATATTTCAATAGTTTTTTTCAAGTTTAAATACATAAACAAACATTACAAACAAAATACAGTAATCATGTTTAAAACATGTTAAATATTTGAATGCGCCATGCATATAAGAATTATGCGACTATATAAATGCCTATTTATATTCATCTATAATCATTAAAAAAAGATAACAAAGAGGAATAAATGGTGTTTCTCCGGTTTTATGTTTTTGAAAGGTTATTTGAATTCTTTTTGTTACTTTAAATTTTACAGTTTTGTTATACAGCGCAATACAGTACAATAAACTTTAACTAAATATTACAACACACACATAAGTAGACTCTTCAGTGTATGTTCACTGGTGTTAATATGTTTTTTGATTGAGTTAAGCCATTTCAATTGATATTTTATAGTGTGTCTTTCTATGTTGTGATGTTACACTATTGTTTCAGATAACGGTAAAGGTTTGGTACCATTAACACGTTTAAACCCGCTGCAATTGTTTGCACCTGTCTTAAGTCAGGAATCTAATGTTCAGTAGTTGTCGTTTGTTGATTTGTTTGTGGTTCATAAGTGTTTCTCGTTTTTCGTTTTTTATATAGATTTCCCGTTTGAATGGTGTTACACCAGTAACTTTTTGTGCCCTTTATAGCTTGCTGTTCGATGTGAGCCAAGCCTCCGTGTTGAAGACCGTATCATTGGCACTCATACCACATCTTCTTATATCCATCTTATGAGAATTAAAAATCGACAAACATATATAAAACACCATCCAAACACGACATTCATGCATTTAAGACACACGATTTATTTTAACAATTTTTTAAACATTTTACAAGTTACTAAAGCAGTATTATGATAATTTATTAATTTGTTATCAGCGCTTTAAAACGGAAAGTCCCTTACCAAATGGAAAAAACAAAAGCCCAAACACATCAAACGAATGGAAATCAGCTGTCCTATTCCTGACTTGGTACAGGCATTTCAGGTAGAAAATGGTAGGTTAAACCTGGTTTTATAGCTAGATGAACCTCTCATTTGTATGACAGTCGCATACAATTCAATTAAGATATTACTTATGTTTGTGTGTTGTAATGATTAATTAAAATGTATTGTATTGTACATCACTTTATAACAAACACGTCAAATTTAAATACAAAAAAGTAAGTCTAATCTTTCAAATACTCCCCCCAAGGGTGACTGGGGAATAGAAGTATGGTCACCATTGGTCTTCCTCCGACCGGCGGTAAAACCCTCGCTAAAGTGGGGCGTCCGTTTGGCTGTGCGGGATGTACAAATTTGCAGCCACGTCCGGTCAGAATGGGGACGTTAAATCCGATGTCTCGTGTAAAGAAAGTGCCACGCTCTTTGCACGTTAAGAACCCTTGCAACAACTCTTTGAGGGGTCCGTAGGTGACCTGTTGCAAGGCTAAATTTCTGTCCCTATCCAATATACCCTCATTTCCCGTGGCAGTCTAAATTTCTCCGACCTTAATCCCTTAATCTAATACAGAACCTACCTATTGTATTTATTGTGAACTTGTTCTCGTCCTGAATATGCATGAAATATTTGCCACTGGACGTTAAGCAACCAACAATCAATCAATCAATCATTTGTATGACAGTCGCATAAAATTCAATTAAGATATTACTTATGTTTGTGTGTTGTAATGATTAATTAAAATGTATTGTATTGTATATCACTTTATAACAAACACGTCAAATTTAAATACAAAAAAGAAAGAAATCAATTAAGCTTTCAAAAAGCAGAAACAATATTTTACTCCATCATTTTGCTATTTACTATGTTTATAAAACATCTTTCATACATAATAAAATTGACATCAAGCGTACGATCAAAGTAAATACCGACATAGGAGACCAACGCCAATTTAGTATTCAAACCTCAGTGCGTTGACCTTATACCAATTGATAAAAGAATTACTGGCGTGACCATCGATTAGACGTATACAAATAATTTTTAAAAAACCTTGACCGCAGATAATTGATAGCTATTGATGACCGCTCTTATGACAACGATTACAGACACTATACCATAATTCCAAAAGTAGTTATTTTTGATATAAAGCCTGTAAACGTCCAGCAGGAAGTATTTTAAGATTTGAATGAAAAGCGATGAATGTAAACTAATCGACGCCAACCCTATACTTAACTATCCGAGCAGTGTGCGCGGCACACTGTGTGAATGCTTAGGGATATGTTTTTTTCTAGTATCATGTAATTCACTCAGTTCTGTCATATTATAAATCAAGAACAAAACAAATTTTATGCTACCTGCACTTGACACGAAACCCACAGAATGTACATAAAATGATAGTATGTTCTCAAATAATTAAGGATAATGTGCCGCTAAAATACTCTGCCTGAGCTAGCCACATATCTTTGCATAGAAATGCGTCACCATAGGGGTATTTGCATACACATGTGTGTACGACTACCAGTCTACTTGTCTCAGAGTACTTTAGCAAGCCGTTCCCGAGCGGTATAGCCTTACTTGATTTTCCTCGTTTAACCGCATAAGAGTAAATCTTTGTGGGCATAGACCGACGTGAAATAGAGCTGTTGAGCAATAAAGAGACTATTCCTCGTTAAGGTACGTAGGCACCCTAACTACTCAGAAAATTTTTGGAAGATCTTATATTTGGCCAAAATAAAATATCAGCCCAAAACGAAATATGAAACGTTATGTTGCCTGCCCAAGTTGTATATTGAGTAACCCCAAAATTTGAAAATGTTGTGCCTGATGAAGCCTTGTATCTTGTTAAAGATTAAAATGATTAGAATTTTGCATTGCTACTGCTACTAACCTAATTCAGCTGACTGAAATAAGCATGACAAAAATTGAAAATAAACGAAAAGTACACGAGACGGATAAGAAAACATAGCCGGCTCTACCACAGACATCATAAATCTAGTCATAAAATGAGTATCGTCCACATAAATAAATGGCTTTGACAGAAGCCGAGTCGGACAGAAAATAAAACACTAATATTAACATCATTTAAAAATTTCTAATTTTTTTATGATCATAAATTAATATAAATATGTATTTACGTAGTCTCAAAAAGATTGTTCATCATTGCGGATGCAAACTATAGTGTTGCCATTCAAAATCAATACTAATTGTTGCGGTTAAAGTTACTATAGAATTGACGTACGAGTGTAGTACTTTAATACTTTGTCCGTATCATTAATTAGCCAAAAGGATTATTGATGAAATATTCCAATAACGGTTGTCATAATTATTTGCAAACAAAACGAAGAAGGATGTTAACTTTGTTTACATTTAAATTAGTTGCAATTTCTTACGTGACACTATCATTTAATATGCAATTCGTGTTAGTTTTATTTCAGAAAAACAAACAGATGGACGCACATGTGATTTTCGCAATTGAAAATAGAGGACCAAACATGTGTATTCGGGAATGTATGCATTATAAAGGTTGTAGTGGTGTCAATTACAGACGAGATACCCTGACTTGCCAACTATTGTCTTTATCCTTACCGGGAGACCAACTAAAATATAGTGAAGGGTTTTCATTCGCTGATGTAAACAATTATACTTTGGTAAGATTTTATTCTGATTTTGTTAGTTTTGTTATTATTTTTAAGCAGTTGTAGGAATAGAAGTGGAAGAAGTAGAACATGTAGTAGTAGTTGATGGATGTTGTTGTCGTATTGTAGTAGTAAAGGAAAATCAATACAACAGTAATAGGAAGACTACAGTGCCTGGCGCCTACTTTGTTCCAATCTGCTGTTCATTGTGATTAGCTAAGACGAACATTTATATGACTGATTGATTGGTGTTTGATTTACGCCGCATCAGCACCAAAGACTATATCGCGGAGGAACATTGATGTGAAACCATGTTTACTTATATTTCATTCTTTATTCCCTAACGATTGACTGGGGTATAAAAAAATGATTATCCCTTGACGTCTCCCATTCCTACAGCAACACCCTCGTCCAATTAGCTGTATTAGTTCGCAGTCACACGTACGGTCTTTATGGGACGTTAAATCCTATGTGTTTTATAGAGAGAGATAGAGATTGTGTGGCACGCTCTATGCACGTCAAAGAACCATTGCAACAACTCTCTGATGGTCTATAAGTGGCTCGTGCAAGTCCAAATGTCTGCTCATATACAACATATCTTTATTTTCTAGTGGCTGTCCAAATTTTACAGCCCCTCATCTCGGTCGTCAGACTTTTCAGAAACTACCTATTGTGTCAAGTCTTAATATGTTCTCGTCCTGAATTTGCAGGAATCAATTGCCACTGGAAATTAAGCAAGCAACAATTATTTTTTTCAGACGGGACAAAGTATGGTCCATGTAAAATGCAATTCATTTTAATATCAATATACACACATTCTAACATTGATATACATAGATAACAGACAAAAGTAACTTTGCAACGCGATAGCTCATTATCAAGTATCATTGAAAATATATCTCACGACATTGCTTACTTGTTACGAGATGTTTTTGTCCATATTGGAAAAGAAAATCTATGTGAAAAGGGTCCATGAGAATTTCATGAAATACTGAACAAACAATTGTATCAAAGAGAGAGGATTTGTATTGTTGGTCTTCATCTTGACAATTACATTAATATTTTCAAAGATTCGATGAAATAATTTCTGTAAGAGCATAACGAACAGGTCCAAGTCACTAATAAATGCCTTTAAAAAAATTCTTGGGTAATCGCTACATAGTTATATAATTCGAAGTACATATGCCGGAGAAATAATTCAACTTAACCAAATTTCCTTTTAAAATCATTATGTATATATCTACAATGTATATACTAATGTACAATCTTTCGTAATAGGTTGTCATTATTTTGCACCGGACGTTAAGCATAGAACAAAACAAATCTTTTGTTCCAAAGGACACGTTAACTGTCCTGATTTTCTTTATTTAATTATAATTT